TTTCATCCAAATCGATTTAGCCATTCTTGAGTTATAAATAGTGTAACTAACACGACTTTCTTTTATATTATATAGAAAACCTAAACATCGACTGCAGCGCCATGGCGGTTGATTTGTGAATCTAAACCATTCCCAGATCCCCTTGAACACACAAAAAATTTCATTAAAATCGGTCCAGTCGTTTGAGAGAAGTTCAGTGACATACACACTCACAGAAGAATTATATAAATATATAAGACTAGCTGACCCGGCAAACGTTGTTTTGCCATATAAATAATTACTAAAATGGCTATTAAAAAATAAGGGTTGATCGTAGAAGGGTGAAAATTGAGGATTGTATGTATTTTTATATGTTGTATCATAAAAAAAACAGAAATGAAAAATTTTGTCTAAAAAGTAAAAAAAAAAATTAGGGGTGGACTTCCCCTACCATTTAGGGGATGAAAAATAGATGTTGGCCGATTCTCATAGATACCGGATAAGCTTCCACTAAGTGTGGGAGAGCCATGCTTCGGCACGAATGGGCCGGCTCGACCGGAGTGATACCACGGCCTCACAGAAAACCGACGTGAAGCAACGCTTGCGTTGTGTTTCGTCGTGTGAGCGAGGTTACCGGAGGCCCAATTACCCTCCCCTTCTCCAATCTCCCCAATCCCTGAATTCCCAACGATCCTCAAACTCCTAATCCCCAAAAGGCCGGTAACGCACTTGTAACGCCTCCGGTGTTCCAGGTGTCCATGGGCGACGCCGATTGCTTACCATCAGGTGATCTGTCCAATCGTTTACCGGATTATGCCATAAAAAAAAATTATAAGCACAAAAAATTTCATCAAAATCGGACAAGCCGTTTCGGTATGAACGAAACGAAACGTCGGAGTATGGCAACGAAAACTATGACACGAGAATTTTATATATTAGATATGTTTTTATATATGTTTTTTAAACCGATAAAACTCGCAGTCGGGGATAATCGATTATGATTTCAAGTAAAATGTCGAAAGCCTTAATTCGTCGATGAAACAATGGCGACAGCTTACAACCTGCAGTTCGCCGACGAGCTATACTGTGTTAGTGAATACAGTTTGAAACAGCGCTGAAGACTCGGTCGATCTCTAGGCTGTGTCGTCAACGAATTCGACGCAGCGTACAGCCTTTTTTAAGGGGGGAACACCATCGAATGTCTGCCCCCGCCTGGGTGAGGCGGGAGGGAGTGTTAGACTCTTACTGACTAAAAACCACCCCGTTCCTTCTCCTGCACGTCGAGCCGGAGCCCCGGTTACCCGTTAGGTTCTCCACGACTCCCTAGAAACTGTTCCTTAGAGATTAGCATTGCTGTAACGAACTATGTAAGTATGTAATAAAATCTATGAATCTGAATTACACACACTTCTAATTGCTGTATCATAGTGAAACTTGGCAATTGTATGTAGATTAGATGACAATACAATATTATGGTGCCATCGAGCTGGTTTCATGATGGAAATAGAAGGTGATTGGTGGACGTGGAAGCTTTAAGACCGGCCGATTTTTGTTTTTGGTGTATCGCGGTAAACGAGCAGACCGATCACCTGATGGTAAGCAATTGGTGTCGCCCATGGACACCTGGAATACAAGAGGAGTGCAGAGGATTAAGTACATTGTAGGCCTTTTATGGATCGGGAAATTAGGGATTGGATATTAACAATCAGGATTGTGTATTTGGAGGGTAGGTGAAGGATTGTTACCTCCGGTAACCTCACTCACACGGCAAGAAACAACGCAAGCAATATTTCAATCCAGTCCTTTTAACATCAAATGGGCCGACGTTTGACCACTATCTCGCCTGGTGGCAAGCGATGATGCGGTCTACGATGGAGCACGTCGTCCCGTAAGCAACCTATTCACTCGGGCCTTGAAGACACTCAGATTATACTCTTCAGGATATACAGACGCTGGCAAAGAATTCCACTTCTTAGCAGTACGCACAAGGAGGCTTGATGCGCTTTTGTGCGTGTGGGTGGGGCATCAACCATGAATCGGTGACGCTTTGCCGATTGTCTTGAGGTACGAAGGCCTTTGAAGAAGACGGTTTCATGGGCCTCACTTCGGTGGAGCCTGTCGTGCCGAAGCATGACTCTTCCATATTTAAATGCTAGTTGCGACGTTTTGCTGCAGTGAGCAGTGGCTCGTCTGCTGCGCTCCTTAGAGTACCTGAGCGAAGCTGGAGTGAGCGGATACTAACAGTTAAATTAACACAGAGATGGACTGTGACTTCGTGGGGTCCTGTTTTAGCACTTAAAGTGGGCCCAACTAATTATTTAGAGTATAATTATCTAATACTAGCTTCTGCCCGCGACTTCGTACGCGTAATGCCATTTTTTCCCGTCCCCGTTCGTGATTATCGGTAAAAAGTAAAAAAAAAAATGTTGGTTAAAAAGTATCCTATGTCAGTCTCCTGCCTCTAAGCTACCTCCCTACCAATTTTCAGCCAAATCTATTCTGCCATTCTTGAGTGGTGTAACTAACACGACTTTCTTTTATATACATGTATAGATAATCAAATTTTTAGGATTTATGTTGTAAGTGCGACTGCAAAGCAAAGGATCTTAGATTCGAATCCTAAGTCCGGCAAAAAAAGTATTTATGATTGAAAAATTTTCCGCTTTTCATTAAAAAAAAAAATCATTAAGCAGTTAGGTGAATAGCGCCGTCGTGATTTTTATACTTGGTAGGTATCTACATTATGGGTCTTAATAAATAATAGCTTCTTCTCGATCGTTGGCTTTATTTTTAAAGGTGTTTTTTCCCTCCATCTTGTCCTTGTTTGGGATTCTTCGCTTTAGGGCCCTAACTTGCCATCCCAAGCCCCTTGTACTAGATCCGGCCCTGTTCCACTCCCCGTTTTCAATACCTAGTGTACCTACATACAAATTACGCACACTTTCAACACGTTTTAAATGAAAATGGACCTTAGCTTACAAGTTTTAAGGTAAGATTTACTTTGTATTGCACTCCGCCGTGGTTATTGATTTTGAAGTGCAATTTGAAGGGTTGAGATGAATAGGGACTGAGTCTATCTAGTTTAAAATGTTTTGATTTTAAATGTAGATATGTAGGTACCTATTAAAAATATTAACATTCGGTGGCAGTCCAGTCAGACTGCCTCGTTGGCCGAGTGGTTGCAAGTGCAACTGTCGGACAAGGGGTCTCGGGTTAGATTCCCGGGTCGGGCAAAGTATTGTTGGGTTTTTTAAAATCTCAGTAGTAGCACGGAGTCTGGAAATGTGCCCGGTATATGGCAATAGACTCACCCCCTATTACATGGGACTCATAACAAAAATTGTGAACAATGGGTATTACATTGTACAGTGGCATTAAGTGCCGTAATGTGCACCTCCACCTACCCCTTCGGAGATAAAAGGCGTGATGTTATGGTATGGTGGCAGTTCACCACTGTACTATAAGCCTCCTCTACATAAGAGGGTTTGTCATAATGTCCACGCTTTGTTAAATATCGCAGTTATAGAGCACCATAGAGCGCTGCTGCTCAGTCTCTGTCAAATGTGTAGTCCCTAAGTCGGGTATATAATACCCACTAGAAGAGTAGGGTTGGTGAATAATGTATTCTAGTTTCTTGTTACTACATGGCTATTTACATGGCTTGTATAAAATTATAAATGCTAGCGACATCTTGAGTTGCTGATTTATGGACAGTTATAGTAGTGACATCTATCGCCGCATAAAATAAATAGTTGAGGTAATGTGTCAACAGATGGCGTGATTAATAAAATTGAATTTGGAATCTACTTCGTGATGGCAAAAGTGACTGCGAAAGCAAGATATTTCAAATTCGACTATTTATGTAGATTCGACCAAAATATTACATTTTTAATATCACTAATATTTCCTCCTTTGTCGTAGGTGCGTGTACAATTGTTTTTTATGGAATGGTAGGCAAATGATCAGACGACTCACCTGATGGTAAGCGATCAATGCCGCCCATGGACACAAACGCAACACCAGAAGAGTTACAAGTGCGTTGCCGGCCTTTTAAAAAGGAATACGCTCTTTTTTTAAACTTTATACAAGTTCACATACACATCACACCCAGACCCGGAACAATCTGTGGATCACACTGAGTTGTTCCGTGCAAGAATCGAACCCGCGACACGTCGCGCGGCATCCAGTTGCCCAGCCACCGCACCAACTGTGCAGTCTCTTTACGATATTAATATAGATTTGTCCACCTCTCAAATCACATTCAACAGCCTATAAATAGCCACTGCTGACCAAAGGCCTCTTCTCATACGGAGAAGATTTAAACACTTCTTACAGCCTAAATGAGTAACAGATCTCATTCAAAATCTTTGGATTGTATATTTTAACACAAACAGAGACTAACACACAGATTTTTTAATATAAAGAAAATAAGCATTGCCATTCAACGTGGCAATGCTGCCAGTCTTCTGGGAACATTCCCCTGTGATAGTGATGCGGACGAATACTTTGACGCCTAAATTAAGGGTATAATTTTTGTTTTCTTTTTTTCCTTTCATTTTATTTAATAGTTTAGTTGTAGTTAATTTTAAATTGTAAATATTTATGTAGTTATATATGTTTTTCCTTACTCCTTTCATATTTGTGAATTATGTCGAATACACAATTTTTAAATAATTAACTCTTTTTTCTTTTTTTTTAAAACGTTGCCCCACACTTGGATTTTCTCCTGTGTCGTGGGTGCGTTTACAAACATACAAGTTCACATACACATCACACCCAGACCCGAAACAACAATTTGTGGATCACACAAAGTGTTGTTCCGTGCGGGAATCGAACCCGCGACACGTTGCACGGCAGCCTGTTGCCCAGCCACCGCACCAACCGTGCAGACAAAACTAACGTAACGTAACTTCGATCATAAAACAAATAAAAACACAGACCCAAGTAAATTTTATATAATTTAATAAAATTATATTAATAATAAGTAAGTAGGTATATCACAAATTTCACTTAAAACAAGACTATTGTTTGAAATTAATTTTGTAGCCCTTCGATACAGGATCCTGTTCCATCTGAAAATTCTCCGTTGACAGTCCGAAAGGCTTTAAAATAATGTTTCCTAGGTCTTTAAGTTTACTTAACATTTCTGTTTTCAGTTTCTCATTCTTTTCTTCTATTAAAGGTGGGAGACGGATGGTGGCTAGCTTCGCTTCTCTGTGAGACGGATCAAATTCCAATATTTTCTTGTAATCCGCTAATGATTCGTCCAGTTTCTCTGTAGCTTCATACGATTGAGCTCTCCTGTGAATTAAGAATTATAAATATGTAGTAATATATATAATCAAGTATATATAATAGACTGCCTCGTTGGCCAAATGCAAGTGCAATTGCCGGACAAGGGGCCTCGGGTTAGATTCCCAGGTCGGGCAAAGTATTAGTGGGTTTCTTAAAAATCTCCGTAGTAACACGGAGTCTGGAAATGTGACCGGTATATGGCAATAGGCTCACCCCCTATTACATGGGACTTATAACATAAATACTGAAAAGTGGGTGTTATATTGTACAGTGGCATTAGATGCCGTAATGTGCACCTCTGCCTACCCCTTCGGGGATGTATGTTATGTCAAGTATTCTAAGTTCAGAGCATTTAAAGGGTGTATACTAGACAAAGGGGTTTTGAGTTTGATTACTGGGTTGAGAGAAGTATTATACAGCCTTTATGGAATTGCTGTTTTGTGGGAGAGCCATGCTCCGGCACGAATGGGCCGGCTGGACCAGAGTGATACCACGGCCGAGCAGAATACCATAGTGAAACAACTTGGTAAGCTTGCGCTGCACACCTCACCCCCCATTACATGGGACTCATAACATAAATAGTGAAAAGTGAGTGTTACATTGTACAGTGGTATAATGTGCACCTCTGCCTACCCCTTCGGGGATAAAAGGGGTGATGTCATGTTATGTTCTTACCGTATATAAGCTTTGACATAATTCTCATCCAGCTCAATAGCTTTAGTGCAGTCCTTGATAGCTTGCTTGTACTTTTTGAGCTTCATTTTAGAAGCACTGCGGTTGCAGTAGAGTATTGAGCGCTGTTGTGAGAATTGGAGAGGACATGTCCGGAGACCTGGAATCAATTTTATAAGTGTAAATTTCTTGTTAAATGTATTGAGTCTTCCTTGGCTGAGTGGTCGCTAGTGCGACTGCCGGGTAAAGGTCTTGGATTCGATTCCCGGGTCAGGTAAAGTATAGTTAAGTAGCTATAGCAAAAAAGTTGCAGAGTCTGGAATTGTGCCCGGTATGTGGCAATAGGCTCACCCCCTATTACATGGGACTCATAACATAAATAGTGAAAAGTTGGTGTTACATTGTACAGTGGCATTAAGTGCCGTAATGTGCACCTCTGCCTGCTGATAAAAGGCGTGATGATGAGATCGAGAGGTCGCAAGTGTTACTGCTGACTGAGTCTAACGGCTACTGGACGAAGTATAATAAATTAGGTTATTTTGAAAATTTCTCAATCTTATACTATATAATGCGGAAGAATTTGTTTTTTTGTTTGTTTGTTTGAACGCGCTAATCTCCGTAACTACAAATCTGATTTGAATAATTCTTTTTGTGTTGGATAGCGCATTTATCGAGGATGGCTATAGGCTATAAAACATCACGCTACGACCAATAGGAGATGAGCAGAGCGTGTGAAACCGCGCGGAAGTAGCTAGTAACTTATAACACAGAATAAATAGTTAGAATGAGTAACGAGTTTCTTGCTCTTCTCCATTCGAATCTACATTTTGGAACGAGCACCTAGCTTTCCTGACCGATACACCAACAGACTGTGATTTTTTTAATATATCAGTATTTTGTTTTGATGTTCAAAAATACCTTCCTGGTCTAATAGGGTAGTTTCCTAAATTTTATTTTAATGTCCATCTGGTAGATTATTTTAAAACATTAGACACGTATTTTTTCTTTTCTCACAAAATTAAATCCTTCGACGATACATTGAATTGAAATGTTGTGTGACGTCACAGCGTGCTACAAAATGTAAAACATTGTGACGTATCTACCTCCCACTCCTAAACTTAACCATACCATTTTATTTAAGTATTGTAACTTTATACGAGAAAATAAAAAATACGTGTCTAATATTTTTTCATTATCTAACTGACGGACTAATTAGATTTTTAATTTTCTTACCCTGGAAACACTACTGAGCATAGGCTTCTTCTTACACGGAGAAGGAATGAGCATGAATCAATCAACTTTATCAAGGTGGATTGTCTTGTTCAAGCTTTTAAGATTTTGACTCAAACAGAAAATAACCTTGAGGACAACAAATTTAATACAGTCTGGAGCTGACCATTCGCAGTTGACAGCGCCCGTTCATGAACATAATACTAACCTTCAGTATACTTCTCAATACTCCGTTCAAAATCACCATCCTTAAACGCATCATTGCCAGCTTTCTTCAGCTCTTCGGCAATGATCCTCCGTTCCTCCTTCTGGTCATCGGTGAGGTCCACCTCAGCATCCTTCAGGGACACCTCATCGATGTCCGTATCACTGTCTTCTTTGGTTTCTGAGTCTTTTTCTTCGAAATCTTTTTCTATTCCATCATCCTCGGCCAGATCTGGGTAGATTCGTGGTATATCTGGAATTTGATATTTTGGTTGATATATAAAAATGGAAAAGTGGATGGAGGTAGCGAGTTGGAGGAGTAAGGGGAAGTCTTTGTTCAACAGTGGATGACTTCCGGCTGTTAACCCGTCGAGCGTCCGTGTTCCTTATGATACAACGGGTGCATACGTGACATTTGGAGCATTTTGCATTTTTTCTTATGATCCACAAGGTGCTTATAAGGACGCTCGAGGGGTTAATGATGATGATGGTTGAAAATAAAGAAAATTTGTAGTTATCATTGAGTTTATCGAGCAACTAGCTACTGCCAGTGGCTTTGACCGCATTCCCATTGGAAAAAATGTAGTATGAGATATTCCAGGTATGAGTTATCCTAAACGGCTGAACTAATTTGAATTAATTTTTGTTTATACATTCAAGTGGATATGCAGGACAACGTCTGTTGGGTCTGCTAGTATATATATAAAAATGAAACCCATTTTCAGTTGTCACGACATAGCATGAAAATGGCTTGACTGATTTAGGTGATTTTTTTTTTTTGTTGTATTTGTTATTATTAAGAGAAGGTTCTTATGACAGAAAAAATCCTGAAAATCCTATGGGAACAGGAGAAAACAGGATTGGAGCTAGTGTAGTATATTATGTTCACGGTTCTTATTTCCATGGGTACGATTATTTTATGGGCTAAGCTAGAAAACGAGCAGATAAATCATCTGATAGTAAGCAATCGGTGTCGCCCATAGACACCTGGAACACCAGAGGCATTTCAAGTGCGTTACCGACCTTTTGGGAATTGGGAATTTGAGAGTGAGGATTGTGGGAATTTGGTGATTGGGGAGACTAGGGAGGGGGTGTAATTAGGCCTCTGCAAATCTGATAATGATCTGTTATCTTTTTTGACAAATTGAGATACATATATACAAGCTAAATGTACTTTAAATACATTAATTTTCAGAGAAAACATGTCACTTTGATTGCATTATAAAATGCAGTCGTCAATCGCACTGAAGAAGACTATTTAACACATAAATATTATCGAATTAAGAACCACTGCTGGGTTTACGAAGTTTTTTTAAATAGGACTTAATAAATAAGTACAAATAAGTACCAATTTGGCATTGAAAAGTAGGTACTAACACATTACCAAAGAGGCGACGCCCGTAATGAACTCGTTTAACTAAATAAAATACTCACCTTTAGTCTGTGGTGCGTCTCCAGCCGCCTTAGGAAAGTCCTCAGCGCTTGTGCCAGGACTTATAACAAATTCATCCACGGATTCTTCAGTTTTTAACGAAGTTTCCAAATTCTTTGTTAAATCATCAATAATTTCGTCGTTTTTCGCCTGATCTGTACTCTGTAACCTTTTCGACATTTTAAATTTTACACACTATAACTTAGGGAGTTTAGAAATTATTGTTAATGATTTAGAATCCAAGAGAATGGGAATATTATGAGAAATTTCTTTATTTTCATTGACTTCTCGTTACAACGCGAATTTTGACAATGGGGAGTTTATGGAAACGTTCCAGTATCTTTCGATTTATTCGCGGCTGTCAAAAACAAGCATGTCATTTCTGGAATCATCCATATAGAATTGGGGTGGTTTCATTTAAGTTAAATTAAGTTATCGTTTAATTGTAGTTCTTATATTAGTGATTATTATGAAATTAGTAATTAAAGCCTCATTTAAGTTAAAAATTTTATTAGTTATTGTGAAAATAATAATCTTATGTTACAGTTTTGCACAGTTAAAAGTTTTTCTAATGCTAAAATTGTTAAAGTATACTTATTATATCTTGGAACGCAAGAAAACGTTTTTACCCGCCTAGCGTTTAGCTATTAATTAGGAATACAGAAAACACCTAGAAAATATTGCGATTAAAAGTAGTTCAGTTACTATATCCAATCATTTTTTTAATATGAGAAGGATATTTAAAAGAAATAATAATGGATTTACTGAAGATTCGACAACTTCTTCCATTATCTAAAACACGGAAGTTAATAATTAAACGCAATGTCAACGTCAACATCAGGTGTTCCACTTTTCCTATCCACGCAGCAATTCAATTTCTAATTTAGATATATTAAGCTTCTTTTCTAAGAAAATAAATACGATATTAAATTAATTATTACTCAACATAATCGAATCAAAAGTTTGTAATAAAAACCTATTATAGTTATCAAACTGCTGGATTACGAGAATATTTAATTTAAAATTGTTGTCACCAATTTCAATGTCACAAACGAAACGTATTTTGTGTAACCTAAAAAATCGTACGTTTTAAGGTCAAGAATTATTTGATGAAATTATCATATTATGTTATCATATATCAGTTGGAGGCTATCTCGTTGAATTACTTAATATACAGTGGTGATATACGCAGTGATTCAGCGCTTCCAAACACTCCCGTGGTTTAGAAAATAAGCTAAAATGTTGCGGAATTTATTACGAAGTGTAACAACACGAAATCTACGTTGTTCAATTAAGAACAACGGTGTAACAACGAATTTCGTCAATCAGAGGAGCATAGCGCCGTTATCTACTACAGAATTAGCTTTAAAGGAGGATAAGTAAGTTGTTTTTTCATTATTTTATGAATTTCATATGATTAATATAAACTATTTGATTTTGGTCTGTAAGGAGGTTAGCAAGCAAAATGAAAACTTATTAGACAATCATTTGAAGGTACTGGCTGCTATCCAGAAATTATACACATTATTAAGTGTATAATACTTAACAAACTGTATAAATAAAAGATTTTATTTCTAATTTTATTTCTCTAATTTAATTAACTAAAGTGGTTTCAAAAATTACATACACCAATTAAACTAGTAATTAGTTACAAATAAATCTTTAATATTAACATTAGATGATAGTACTGCCCCATTTAGATTCAAATGAATACTTTTAAAACAATATGTATTATCTGACCCGAGGAACATATTTAAATTAATAAATGTTAGAACAGGTATATAATTATACAAGTAAAAATTTATTCAGTACAGAGTATGGACTGCATGATTGATGTGGATGCTTGGCAACCGGCTCTGGTAGGAGCAACTCTTTATGTGATCTACAAATTGTCATCCTGTGTCTGTGTGTTTTGTATGTGAATGTGCATAAATTGTCTTTCGAGCCAAATTTTACATTTATGGCAAGTTTGTTTCATGCATGTAGAGATAAGAACTTAAGTTTGTAAACGCACACATGACATAGAAGAAAATTCTAGTGTGGGGAAGATTTATTTAAAAGATAACTAGCTTTTACCCGCGGCTTCACTCGCGTCACAAAAGGATAAAAAGTAGCCTAAGTGACATATACCAATACACACATGACACAGCATCATCTATACCAATAATTTGGTTTTCCCTCGAGAATATCACATTTTTCCGGGATAAAAAGTATCCTATTATTTAATCCAGACTTCTAACTTCACGTCTGCAAAAATTCAAAGCAATCGGTTTAGTAGTTACGGCATGAAAGTGAAACAAACAAGAAAACCCACTTTCAGATTTATAATATTAGGAAGGATAAGGCAGTGGCTTTTGTTATACTTTTGTATGCTTTGTATTTAAACTGAATCTAGTTGGCTAAGCCAACCAATAGTTACTGTCTCTCTGTACTCAAACAATCTTTATTATCTTACCCGAATACTAAATGACTTGATTGTCTTTATATATTATTACATTTAGAGAGTGCTACTAATTCTTCTTCATATTTTACACATAGAGCAACACGGGCCACCAGCGTGTGCTCTATGTATTTTACATATTGTATATTTTTTCTCAATTACTGTCTCGTTGGCAGAGTGGTCGTAAGTGCGAGGTCGTAAGATGTGAAGTAGTGTCGTAAAAGTGGCAAGAGGTCCTGGGTTGAGCAAAGTACTACTGGGTTTTTAAAAAATCTCAGCAGTAGCACGGAGTCTTGAATTGTGCCCGGTATATGGCAATAGGCTCACCCCCTATTACATGGGGCACATAACATAAATAGTACAAAGTGAGTGGCACTGGCACAATGTGCACCTCTGCATACCCCTTCGGGGATAAAGGCGTGATGTCATACTATTACTATTAGTAAGATATAAAAGTTTGTAAGACTTTATGTTTAATAATCTCAGTCTAACACACAAGTATTGAACAGATTTGATTGAAATTAAGCCTTCCTGGTGCCTTACTCTTGAATCCAATGCCGATCGATCGGACATTGGTATTGTGAAATTTCGTACTCTTGAGTTGCAACACTAGCGCACATTGCATCCGTATTGCGTGGATATTGAATGAACTAAATGGTATTGACTTCGTCTTTATATTCCGTACTCTGAATGCTATTGTAACAGCTACGATTGTGGTTGTATAGTGCTGACATTGAATAATTACTGAGATTTTTTTGGATTGAAATCACCCTGGTCTAATTGAAATAAATGATTTTAACTTTGACATATAATTGCGAAAGTTAGTGTGTATGTATGTCGCGGAGAACCTAACGGGTAACCGGGGCTCCGGCTCGACGTGCAGGAGAAGGAATAGGGTGGTTTTTAGTCAGTAAGAGTCTGACACTCCCTCCCGCCTCACCCAGGCGGGGAGTAGTCATTCGATGATTTTCCCCCCTTAAAAAAAAAGTGTGTATGTGTGTATGTTTGTTACTCAATCACATCAAAATGGCTGAAGGGATCAGGATGAAATATGGTACAGGGGTACATTATGGTCTGGACTATAACATAGGCTACTTTTAGTTACACGGGAACGCGGATCGCTGGCAGAAGCTAGTAATACATCATATTATTATACTAAAAGGACTAGTAAAATCGGAGATGTTTCGAGAATAATGAGGCTTAAGACAGACAGACGGACGGCATGCAATTGAACTGCAAACCAAACGTGTAGTCCGATCGCAGTTCTATTGCAGTCATGACCAAACGGTTGCAAATTAAACGAGCGGTCCGATTGCAGTTCTATTGCAGTCATGACCAAACGGTTGCAAACTAAACGAGCAGTCCGATTGCAGTTCTATTGCAGTCATGGCCAAATTGTTGCACACTGAACGAGCAGTCCAATTGTAGTTCTATTGCAGTTATGACCTAACGGTTGCAAACCAAACGTGTAGTACGATTGCAGTTCTATTGCAGTCATGACCAAACGGTTGCAAACCAAACGAGCAGTCCGATTGCAGTTCTATTGCAGTCATGACCAAACGGTTGCAAACCAAACGAGCAGTCCGATTGCAGTTCTATTGCAGTCATGACCAAACGGTTGCAAATGCAAACTAAACGAGCAGTCCGATTGCAGTTCTATTGCAGTTGAAATGCGGTTCGTCTGTTTAGAAATTTAGTAAAATTAAAGATTTTTCGAGGATGGTATCATGTAATAGGGGGTGTGCCTATTGCTAAACATCAGCCGCTATTTCATCATGTCATACTATTTTTACTAATAAAATATATTTGATAAGATACCTCAATAAATTTAAATAGGTACTTAAGTGGATAACAATTCTATTTTTAGTTTTATCTTGTACTTGATGTTATCAATGATGTAAAATTTATTATAGTGACTGCCTCATCATTAGAGTCTTTTGTACCTACGTCGCCCGCTTCTCATGCATGAGAGTGCGGTTCGAAACCTACCAACGGCAGGTACCAATGTGACTTTTTCCGAGTTATATGTACTTTCTAAGATTATTCAGACACCACTGACAAACGGTGAAGGATAACATCGTGAGGAAACCTGGTCTTATAATTACTAATTATAAGTTTGTAATCGCCAACCCGCATTGAGCAAGCGTGTTGGTTAATGCTCAAACCTTCTCCGTGTTAGAAGAGGCCTTTGCCACTGCTGACCAAAGGGCCTTTGGTCATCCATCAGTGGACTTATAGGCTGTTGATGATGATATACATGATTGTAGATCGTGCAGTTCTCAAATCCCTTATCCCCAAAAGGCTTGTAACGCACTTATAACGCGTCTGGTGTTCCAAGTTTCCATGGGCGACGCCGATTGATCATGATCCGTCTGCTCGTTTCCCTATCCGAAAAAGCACTTACTATCTAGCCAAGTAGCCGTACCCGTTCCCGTGGGATAAAATGTCAAAGCGTGTGTGTTACTTCAGACCATCATCTACCCGTGGTCCAAATTTCATCTCGAACCCTTCAGCCGTTTTAACTTAAAAGAGTAACGAACAAACAAACAAACAAACACATACACACATACATCCTCACAAACTTTCGCATTTATAAAAACCAAACGGTTACAAACCACAAGAGCAGTCCGATTGCAGTCCTATTGCAGTCATTACCAAACGATCAGTCCGATTGCAGTTCTATTGCAGTCATTACCAAACGTGTAGTCCGATTGCAGTCCTATTGCAGTCATTACCAAAC